TCCATGGAACCACAGTGAATTTGTGCATGCAATATGCAAAGGCAAATAGGCTTAAAGATACATAGGATTTGAAAACCCCCGTCACCCTTGCAGAGGGTACAGTGACCCCTGCTGTTAAGGGGATGAAGGGGCTAATTGAAGACCAAGGGGGCTGGAAGTTGAGCCTGGGAAGAAAAGGGCCAAAGACTATTGTGTATCCAGCACACAGCAGTCTCGGGACATCAACTTTGGTTGTCTCTCAACTGCTGGCCCAATCCGATGGAACAATGAACTCTCTATACATAAGCCTGACAAGAGAAAGGCGCAGGAGTTTCCCTCAGCCTAAGCACATGGCAAAAGGGAACAGATTGTGTTTAAGAGGGCTGTTTCTTTGCTGAGCGGGGGGCATCTACCCCTACATGCAAGAAGAACTGGCTGGAGAGAGAAGGCAGAAGGGAATCTGCCTGACCTGAAACGCTGATAAGACCTCGGCTCACAGAAAGGGTGAGATCAGACCAGAAGGGCTGCATACAGGACTTTTATTTTGCAAGATCTGTAACTCTCCACAGCTTTTTAAGAGTAAAGTGATTGTGATTAAGACATTCCTGTGCTAAGCCAGTGTTCCTTGTCATCCTGCCACGTTGTCCACAAAGAACCCAAAGAGACCACAGCCTACTGGAACTCTGAGGAAGCATGTGTAAACAACTAGGTGGACTCAAGAGGTCTGAAATACTGAAGCAGCCAGATAGTGGAGTCCCAAAGCCCCAAGGGAGAGTTCAGACAAAGCATCTGAACCTGGGGATGTGTCTTATAGACCTAGAGCTAGGGGCGGGAACCAGGTTCTGCCCAGAAGCAGGTGGCTTAAATGCACATGGGATCCAGCAGCTGGGTCTACTCACAACCAACTGATGTCCATCCAGATGGAACTGGGCCAGGTTTTGACACTAGGCACACAACAGTCTTTGGCGCTGCTCTTCCTGGGCTCAACTTTCAGCCCTCCTGGGTTCCAGTTAGTCCCTTCTTCCCCACCTTAACAGCAGGGGTTTCTGCACCCTCTACCAAGGTGGTAGCATAGCACGAACTCACACCCACCCTCTCCTATGGGATCCCAGAGCTGGGAACCCTTAGTAGTGGTGCTGTACTTTTCATTAAGTTAAAAAAAAAATTCAACTCAACATTGTCAAATCCAAGACCCCAAGAAATGGTAATATCCCCTCATTAAGAAATATGCTCTTAAACTTATCACCAGAGAAGAGTAGAGATAGCTTTGTAACTACTCTGTTATAATGTTATAGGTGCATTAAGATGAGAGCCATAGACGACCTTCTGAAACCAAAATAGATCACAAGCTAAGAAAAGCAGCTGTCAGAAATTCTGTTTATATCTAAGAGCAAAAAAGGTAAGCCTGGATGGAACTATCTTCTTTTGCCCCAAAACAAGACATTTCATCATTAATCTCAGGCTTGTCAGGCAGGGTTAGCTGCTTTAACATTCCACCGCTATTAAGAGCAAACTCTAGCAACTTTTCTTTCTGAAGTTTAGAGAACCAATGAAAACTATTTTTTTGTTCAGAATTTCCCCAAGAGATTGTATTTTCCAAGTTCCTTCACTAGAAATGAAAGTGAGATCTTTCTTCATCTGTTCTGGCTGCTTATTCATCACTTTGGAGCCATGGTCCAATACAACATCACAAGCATAGTCACAGAAACAACTGTAATGTCATAGACAATTGTGACTCTGCAGATGAACAGAATAAACAGATGAACTGCTGAAGTACAAAGGTCTTGTTTTAATGCAAATATCGGTAGTAAAATAAGAGAACAGGGAATTAGTGTCATATACAATGAGCTGGCAGAAGAGTCTATAAACAGACCTTTTCCCCATTTTTTCCCCTTGAAGTGTCAGCAGCTCTTAGACACATCATAAATGGGTGATTTTTCCCTCTATATTAAAAAAAACTTTAAAATGTGGTTAAATGACTTGGTCTGTGAAGGAGCTTCACAGGCAGTCCCAACAGCAAAGGGCAAGTCATTCCTAGCCTTATGATTTGGCTTCTCCATGCCAGCCCTGACAGTGGGGAAAGGAGAAAGGCAAAGCTCTTTCATCACATTGCTCCTGCTCTAACATGGAAGGGAACCTGGTCTCTTCTGCTCAGTTTGGAGACTTTCTGAACTACACACATCCTATTGGCAATAAAGAAACATGTAAGAAAAAATTTCAGGGGGAAAAAAATCTCTTGCCAACACAACAAAGCAGAATGAGCTGTCTGGGCTGCCAAAGAGTGAAAAACAAATTAACAAGCAGCAATTCACTTCTCCTCCAAAGTCCCTCTGCACCAGTTCAGACAGCAGGAAGTTACAGTAGCGACACTCTGCAATTGAGACAGCAGGGCACCAAGGTCTCCAGGCAGACAGAAAAAGCTTGTGGCAAGCTATCCTTTCAAACACCTCCACGCCCCTACACAGTGCAGAGCTTCATGCTCTTCTTCCAATAAAGCAGTCAACCAGCAGCACACGGAGCAACGTTAAGAAAATTGTGCCTATTTGGGACCAGACAAGGTGTCTCTCAGACCAGTATCTTATCCCAGTAACTACTGGGCTTACAGCAGGATCATCTCTGCTTGGCTCAAAGTGCCTTTTCCTCTCAGGCATACAATGGGTGTCCAGAACTGGAGAAGTCAATGGGACTACATAAACTTGGTCTGTTTCATTTCAACAAGTTCAGGGGCGGGGAGGTTCAGGTCATGCTAAGCAGAGGTGCCCTGACATCCAAAGCTGGCAACACTACAGCAGTAGGGACAACTTCCTAGCCTAGAGGGCTCCAGCAAGACAAAACAAAACTGCTTCTCCTGACAGAGTGGTGGTGGGGGGCATAGGAACTTGCTAAATGAAAAGAAACAAAAGCCCCCCAAAAGCTCTGGTGGCTGAGTAGGCTAACTATCTCCCTACAGATGGGAAAAAACACCCAATAGGGTCATTGAGCCAGCTCCCCTTTAAAGGGCAGCTTTCTCCCCCCGGCTCTCCCAATCTCCACCTGTGCATAGGTAAACTTACTTCTGCCATCTGGCGTGGCACTAAGCAGGGTTGAAAAATGGTTCCCTGGGTGAGCTATCACCTGAGATCAAGAAGTCCCCGATGAGTGTCATAAATCAGAGAGCTCATAAGAGTCAGGAAAGGTGTGAGTAACTAGTGAAAGACGTTGTCTGGCCGCCATAACAGGTAGCAAACAGATGGAGATAAGCAGCAGCCAAAAACATGGGAGATAGAAAAGGTGCACACACTGGGGAGAAACACGACTATCAGACACACAGAGAGATGAGATTTGACACACAAGCTTGCAACAGCTCTCACAAGGGGAGAATAAGGAAGACACTGCCCACTCATGTTCAAACACCGCAGAATGGGAAGAGAGAGAGAGGCAGGTAATGGGAAGCCCCAGAGAAGAATAGCTGGCTGTAATCACCCGAAGAGAGATAGGCAGGAGGAGTACGTGCCCAGGCAGCAGGCAGCTCAACACCGTACAAATACATAGCAGTCAAAGATTCCAAATTGTGAGAAGGGCTAATTTTATAAACACACTCACCTCTCTGCTGGATGCAACACTTGGCTTGACTCCTCTTTCTTTCACTTTCTATCTGCTTTCTAAGAGAAAGAAGGTGGGTGAGGTAATAACTTTTATTGGACCAACTTCTGTCTGAGGAAGAGCTCTGTGTAAGCTCGAAAGCTTGTCTCTCTCACCAACAGAAGTTGGTCCAACAAAAGAGATCGCCTCACCCACCTTATCTCTAATATCCTGGGACCAACATGACCACAACACCACTGCATGTATCAGCTTTCTAAGTCATCTCAACAAGTGAGCACTCACTTGTGTGTTCTCTCTCACAAACTCTCTCTCCCGCTCCACCCTTACCCATTTCAATAGCTTCACTGTAACCTCCTTCCTTCCTTTCCTGTCTTTTGAACCCAGCAACATCCATCACTAAGACATGTGCATACCCCCACCTTGTGAATGCTTATTTTAGTTACAAACCTGCACAGACAGGCACTGTGACAATTTAATAGAGAAGAGGAACACAAGGTTTCTTTTCAAGGCAAGCTGTGCAGCAGGCATTGCCTAACCAAAAGTGTACCTGGAAAACAGAACTGGCTTAATGCTAAATCCACCAGTTCTGACAAAGAGCAATATGTTTATCTCCACTCTTGATTGAAGCCAATGAAAATTATACACAGGAGGATCCTTGATGGAATGAGACCAGGACTATTACATAAGCTTCAAAGTGAATTATCAAGTCAAACAAACGTTAGTGCTCACATTTTCAAACTTGAGTGCTTAAAGTTCGGCACCTAAATCCATATTTATACTTCCACATAAGTGGTCTAATTTTCAGAGGGGCTGGACACCTACAATTTCCTTTGCCTTTCAAAGGGAGCTCTGTGTGTTCAACATCTTTGAAAGTCAGGCCATTATAACGAGGTGTTTAAATGCACACATTTAGGTGTGTGACTTTAAGCACCTATGTTTGAAAAGTTGGGCCTAAACGAACAATGGTTATAGTTGGGTAAACCTGTCTTCTGAATGAAAAACCCTTTGAATTCCAGCAATTTTCCGACTGTCACACAATGCAAAAAAGTGTTGTGTTTACTAGAGACAGCATTTTACCAGTTAGTAAAACAATACTGTACCCCTTCTAGAATGCAAACAGTACAACAGAATGGGAGGTAACTGAATTGTATGTGTCAAGAACCGAAAAGTGCTCTGATTTTAATAATGCCCTTGGAAAAGTACTGTATGGTTGTCTGAACAGACAGAGGGCACTGGGGCCGGCATGGTGGCTCAACACAGCTACAATTTTGATAGCTGCTGTCTTCCTGGATGTGTATATAGTTGTTTGTATGGTCTGAATAATCCAGATTTTGCCAGTAGCATCTGAATTTACCAAACCAGTTGGATGCAATGAATTTCTGGATTTGTACTGTGCTAGGCTGTTTATATATAGTTCTCAGCATATGAATCATACATACTGTGCTGGAGCCTTGAATCACACGACAGTCTTCAGTGTCTGATTTCCTTCAGAGAAATACAAATGCAAAAAGCTATATAACACACAACAAGATAATCTTATTTTGCAGGTCTATGGCTTCTTTCATTGGAGGATTTCCATGGTCTCCAGATGTTAATTAGATCTTACAACCTCCCGGGCAACAAAACAATATTTATATCAAAAATGAGACACAGTACGATAAAGTGACTTGATCGAAGTCCACAGCAAGTCAGTAGCAGAGCCAATAAGAGAACTCAGGAACCCTGACTCCCAAACTCTGCTTTACCAATAAAAAAGGAGAAGAGATATAAAGAAGGTTGTTGTTGGGATAAGAATGACATGACACTGACAACTCCTTCTACCCAATAAATCCCTACTAACCAGACAAAACAAAAAAGAGGAAATGAATTAAATGTAAACAATCAACACCAACAATCATACTGCAAGCTGAGTTTTTACCTCAGAAAGGGAGAAAAACCAGAGGCTCCAGGAAATTCACTAGGGGCTTCAATAGTGCTATCAATTTTACATGGAGGCTGATGGGCAGCAACATAAAACAGACAGATGTGTTTGTTTCTCCCACCTTTACCCATTAGGATCTTTCATTGCCAACATTTTGAAAGAAGCTCATGGTGGGAAACATCACTTGGGTGAAGGGGATTTTTGACTGTGGCAAAAGGGTTAGTTTCCCTCCTTGTTTCCATTATGGAAAGGATATTTTCTCCCCACAAAACACCCCAACTCTGAATGTGCCGGCAAAGAACAGGTGTTCTCAAGCGATCCCCAATCTAAGGTCTAAGTACTCTCACCTCCGAGGGAAGCTAGTGCTCAGCAGTTCCCGGGATTGCATCGTAATAACTAGATAAAACAGTACATTACACACAAGGAAAGGTGTAGAGCAGAGTGGGGATTTTTGGTTGAAATACAAGCAGCCGTTCAAAGAGTGTACGTTGGTCGATAGAATTCACAGAGGTGGTGCGTTAAGGAGGGGCTTGAAGAGGAGTGAGCGAAAGCATGGTATGAAGGGAGTTCCAGACACATGAAGGTGTGAAGATTAGCAGTGGGAGGAGGACGTGAAGGGTGTAGCTGGGGGGCATATATATATTTTATACACATGGAAGAGGCCTTGAAGCTGAGGAGAAGATCATTTCTTTTAGAACAAGCCCCATTATTCCTCATGTTTACCAAAGACACATGCCAGCCATAGCTGATATTCTTTGCAGTTGTGATTAAGGCTGGGGGTGCAGCATGGCAATCAAACCCAAGGCGGATTGTAAAAAGGGAGTCTGGTTGCTTTGTTAAATACCAATGGCCCTATTTGGGCCAGGGTCACCAACTGGAACCCAACTGGTACATTCTTGGCTTGTACGTAGGTCACTTACTCTGCTTCTGCCTGCTGCGTTCCTGCCCTCCTGCTGGAGCAGCTGTCAGTGCTTCTCTCCGACCACTGCAGGCGGCTGGCTAAGACTTCCCCTGCTTCTCTCAACTGGACCTCTCTCTGCATGCTAATCATTGCAGCCTTCTGCTACACCCTGATTCAATGTAGGGACTTCTCCAAGTCACGAGGATCCCATCAGTTCTCTTCAGTACTCCCTCTCTTAGCCTCTCCAAGCCTGTCTGATGACCTCACCACTCTCCTCAGGTACCTATACACTCACTGCTCTCTACCACACCTCAGCTCCCTACTAGCCATATTATGAGCATATGGAAGCCCAGCACACACATGTATTTTGAGAAGAAATGGCCAGAACAGTGTGACAGGCTAAGAAACAGATGAGAAAAGTTAGTGGCCAGGATGGGGCTAGGGCTGAGGACGCAAGTGGAGAGATTAGAAATAGGGAACAGTTAGAAACTTTATTGTTGGTAACAGGGGAAGAGGAGGAAAGGGCACTGATAGTGCGGGGGGGGGGGGGAGAAGGGGAGAGATGCAGTGCATCCTGGGGATGGAGGAAGGGCTGGAGTGAGCGTCACCATAAAGGAGGAGAATGTGACAGGAAGAATTTGGGATAGCTTATAGGATTTGTGTTGGTGAATGGGAGGAAGAGTGAGTGAAAAGGTGGGGCTGAAAGGGAGGAGTGGGGGTAAAGTAACAAAGAAGGAGCAACAGAGACAGTGGGAGGGGAGGGAGGATGAGAGGAAATAATCAGGCAGAGGAGAGGTGAAGTCAAAGCCAAGGGGAGCAATAGCAGAGACTAGGGAGATGAAAGCAACCAGTGGGGAAAGCTAGGCAATCAGCAAAAACAGACAAGAACAAATTAGCTTCAAAACACAAGGGGTAACATTACCTACAAACCCACCTCAATGTCATAAAATTAGTCCTTGGTATGTGACATAATCCTCCAACAACTTCCACTTGACCACTCAGCCAGCTTTGCGAGTCAGAAAAAGTTCTACCTATTGACTGCAATATTGCAAACTAGTTTATCATCTACAGAAGAAAGAAAAGTGATGGGCTTGAATGAAGTCTTCGCTCTTGCTTAACCACTCAGCCACAAATTATTTTAAACAACATACAGCAGGAGGGTGGAGGCAAAGGGTGCATATCCAAACATAGGGTCCAATACTGCATTCTTCCACTCAGGCAATGCTCCCATTGAAGTTTGAGTAGGCATGGTAGGTCTGGGCCCACATATCAGGGAGAGGAGGTGCAGCATACGGATTTAAATTCCCAGAGTTGTTGTGCAGTGAACATATCTTGCACATCATACATGAAAGTGAATCAATATGAACAGATTGCTAAGGAGTTCTGTTGACCCATTGGTGGCTGAGACCAATAACAAAAGGGAAAGCTTATTTTGCTGACAGAGTGCTTCATGTATCATCAAGCTGTCATCTAGAGAAGATCAATTTCCACCACCCCAGAGTCTTTGTTAAACGTATTTGACACATCACAGTTCTTTTCACCCAATGCCTCCTTAACCAGCTCAAATATAGAAACTGGCTTTCATTAGCCCTGCTCTATTACTCATTTCAGTACTATTCCATTTAGGAATCTTGCTGTTCATTTGACAGTTGCCTTAATCTACTGTGTTAACCATCAAAATGCTTGGCCAGCAGAAGTTAACCAAGCTCCTGGTACAATTTCTTCAGCATCAGTAGGATGCTTGCTTCTATCATTAAATGAAGATGCCTGATAAAAAGAGACAAGGAGGATTAACATTTCAAGTGGCAATAAGCAGCTGAAGTTCAATCAAGTGAGCTTATAAACACAAATGAATGAACAATGCAAAAGGAGGGGGGGATTTCAGATTGCCTTTCAGCATTTGAGATAAGAATTGGACAAATTTATATGTAAATCCAAAAATAGTTTGATTGTTTGGCTTTTCCATGAAGCAAATGCAAGAGATCTCTCTAGATTTTCTCCACCTCTAATCAGAATGGAAATCAGTTTTCCATCTTCAACTCTTTTTATGTTGATTTAAAAAACAAAAAAAACCCAAGCTGCATTGTAAGCTTCTACATTTAGCAAAAAGTTTAAAAGAAGTGTTGGGCTAGTATTAGTAGGCTTTTTTCTTCCTTCAAATACCTTCCACAGCTTCTGTGACAGGGAAGAGAAATTCCTCTGCGAGCTAAAATGAGACGGTGTGTTGTTCATTTTGTCAGGGTGCAAAGGAAGAATTTTTCAGACATATGCAGGAAAGAAGGAGATGAAATGCTTAAAGATTTGAGGTTAGATTTAAGTAATTCTAAATAGTCATGGCCTTTGTAAATAGGAATTCACCCAAGAATTCAGTCTGCAGAAAGGACTGTCCAATTTTCAAACAACTGCTCTGAAAAAAAAAAATTCAACACCTGCTTCTTTCTAGAATGACGGTTTGATAACAAAGGGTTGCTACACTGCAAACTATGAACCCAATATGGCAAACACACCCTTTTAACCAATCAATGAAAGTTAGGAGCTTAAATTCCTTTAAGATTCAGGGCCTCAGTTCCCCAGAAGCAAATAATTAAGTACAGATTTGCAGAATTCGCTCCTAAACTTGAAAAATATATATATTTTAAAGGGAAAAACCCTATTCTTCTTTCATCTTAAATGCTTTATGCAGCATTATGCTACCTGTTTTTTTTAACTTTTACTATTTTAAAAAAATCAGCAGAATTTCAGAAATGTCACATTTTTAGAATCTTTCAGAACAATTTCAAACAACATTTGAGCATCATAAATGTTTTTGCCTTGCACATCCTGGAAAACATTTACAAGCAGAATATTCCCAACCAATTGGTATTTTGCAGAAAATCTCAGTTCAGGGGTACAACATGAAAATGAAGGTTAATAAGAACAATGACAAAATGAGGAATTTTATAGTCTGAAGAAAAGGCTTTTTAAAAAAATATATATATAAAAAAAACACAGAAAAACAAAAAAGTCTTTCATCACCACTAATTGCTCAATCACAAAACACAACTGACTTCACCAAGGATTTAACTCCCAGCTATTATGTTATGTACGTGTAGGCTGCCCAGTAAAGGTTGTTCCAGCAACAGGCAGAAATAACTTTTAAAACCCCTTAACCTTATATAGAGTATAAAAGCTCTACATCCCACCTCCCAGAAGGTAAAGCTTTTATCTCATGAAGTTCTGTCTTTAACAATGTATCCCTCCCCTGTGGCTTGTGGCTCTCTCACATGTTTGGTATGGTAGCCTGATGTTGCCCTCTATCTGTAGAGCCTACTGATTGGATGGATTTTCTTCAATCTCAAGAACTCCCTTTAACTCTTTTATTCGTTCATTCATCAAGTATTACATAAATCAGCTGTGATGTCTTTTAGGATGAGAAAAGGTCATTTCCTATATAGGCGTAATATCTGTAGGAGAGAGATGCAAGTGCAGATGGAAATAAGATATATAAGCTTTCATCTAAAAAATCTCCTGCTGGGTTCATAGCTAATCACAAACAACTACCCTAAAAGCTCTTTTGTGAGTCACCCTCTCTTTTCACAGAAAATATAAGGGCAAATCCAAGTGCAAATCTTCAGTATTCAAACCTTGGGCTGATTACTGGGAGGCATGTGTGCATTCAGTAGGTCCTTCTGTTTCTTTAAATAAGCTCAATAATACTCTTTTTATTTATAGGGTGCCCAAAGTACAAAGGGTGACATGCAGGATGGCTGCAAAGAAAAGGAAAAAAAAACACAGCTGAAGATAGCAATTCACAAGGGTTCAGTAATTCAGTACTGTTGATTCTATAAAGACCCAAAGCTTTTATTATCCACTGATTCTTTGAGGGGGAAAACTCGCAATTATGAGTTTGTAAGAAAAGGAATATCTGCTTCTCTTATATAAGAACAGCATTCACTGAAAAGGCCTTTTAAAACCAAGGCAGTCCACCAAACATTTCAGGTCTGCTTTCAGATAGTTTCCCTCTTGTGTGACTGAACAGCTGAAGAAGTTGTGCACAATTACACACAAAGTCCTTTTTAAAAAAACAACAACGAAAAGTATTTCAATTGAAAGCCAGGGTCTCTCCATTTCAGCTGCAAGAACAGTACCAGTTTACCCTCTTTTGTTGCACTCACAGGGTTCAGAATCTACCCCAGCTGCTAAAGGTCCCTTGTCTTTATTCCCATTGCTTCTGGGGTCTCTGGAGGACCCTTGAGTTTTAAAAAGCTTATTCTGGTTACGACACAGGAACTGGGGTTAAAAGGAAGGGAAAATATACAAATCCTAAACTGTCCCTAAAGTGATCATCTCTTCTGTCAGCGCAACGCTTGGCTACTGAACAAAAGCCATTAGTTTCAGCATCTGTCCCTTCACACATCTAATCCTGCCCGATGTGTCCACTGGAAAGAAACACTCTCCCTCACCTCCTCAACACACAGCTTCAGCCCCTACCTCTCAGGGACAACAGAAAACTAGCCCCCTTTACCACACGCACATACACACAAAACTGAGCACCATTTGGAAAGTAAAGAGAGCTAAGGGTTGCTAGTCCGAGCTACTGAAACAAGTGAGATTTAAAGATACACAAAAAGGATTTGGATTTTAAAGTGTCTACTTGCTGACCATGCTGCTTTCTTCACTGCCAAAGACTGCAAAGAGGACTTCAAAACTCCCTCCTCCCTTTTAAAAATAAATTTCCCCTTTTCTCTTTTAGACTGTACACACAACATTCATCCTCTTTCCTTCCTGACAGATTTTAATTTGTGGCGATGAGAGAGAAGGGGGGGCTGTTCTTCCCCCACATCCACCCACGTGTTGGCACTCCAGAACACAAACCCAGGGACCCGGGGGTAAAACCCGATCTCCTTGATCTCAGTAACAGCGGCATGTGACAGAAAGCAGCATGTGCAGCAGCAGGGGCAGCGCTCTGCCTTTCCTATTGACTCCAGGACACCACGAGAGCAGCATGGAAACTCCAGATCATACAGCATAAAGCTGCCCACTTGCTCAGACAAAAACAGCCGCTTCCTAGGAGGTGGAGCAGCTCCCTCCAGCCCTGGCATCTCACAGGAGAGGGGAAGGATGGGGAAAGGTATCTCCAGCCCGGGTGTCGGGCTCGCTCCCCAGCCCTGGCATGGATGGGGGGTTAGTTCTCTCCAGATGAGAGAGGGGGCGGGGGCAGCTCCGTCCCTCCCCTGGAAGCCCCGGGGACAGCGCGCTCCCTGGGGAGCAGGGGCTGCAGGGCCCCAGCCCCTTACCTGGCAGACTCTTGTGCGCCGTGTTGCCCATCACTCCGCGCGGCGGGGGGCGGACGGTCTGCGGGCCCGGGGCTGCGCTGCGCTCCGAAGGGCCATTTGCCGGGGGCTGGGAGCGTCTTCTGCAGTGCCCGGGCTCCGCTCAGCGAGGCTCCCCACACCGCAGCCCGAGCCGCACTGAGCCAGCAGCTCCCCGAGCTCCCCGCGGCCGGGCCGCCTCCAGGGGGCGGGGCGCGGGCTCAGAGCCCGCCCTGGCGGGGCGGAGCAGGCAGCTGCAGGAACCTGGCCCTGGCGCTCAGTGGGGGCTGCAGGGCAAGACAATGGGGGACGCTCCAGGGCGCTGCGGGATGACAGAGGGCGCCGGCTGCGGGGCAGTGAGGCGGGGGTCTGTGGAGCTGTGCTGCCCCCACTAACGCACACTGGGCCTGCTAGTGTGGCCAGGCAAACGGCGACCTGCCCTTTTGAGCGTGCATGGGGAGGGTGATCCTATCAGTCAGGGTAAGGACAGCTACTTCCAAGGACCCCTTAGTTCTGTTAGAATAAGGGCGCCCCACACGTTGGAGAGCCTACAGGGTGTATGCAAGACCCTCCACTACTGCTAGAAATGCAACAAAAAAACCCCCATAACCTACAAAATTCTTACCTAGCACCGAGAGGGCTTAGCTTACAGGCTGAAGGAGACCATTCTCTTTCCCTTTCTGCTTTAGAAAAATCAATCACTCTCATTGTTACCAGGCTCAGACCACGCTAGTGCTTGAAGCTTTGTTCTCAAAACAGATACAGTAGTTACCACTAAAAACTTTCTTTCAAATGTTTCATTTGGGGAATATGGTCCAGTGGTTAAAAGGGAGACTTGAGCTCTGTTCTCACTTATTTGCTGTATGACTGCTCTGTGATTCAGCAAAAACAAGGAGTCCTTAGGGCACCTTAGACACGAAGACATTTATGTGGGCATAAGCTTTCAGGGGCTAAAACCCACTTCGTCAGATGCAGATCTGTTCTAACCCACGAAAGCTTATGCCCACATAAATTGGTTAGTCTCTAAGGTGCCACAAGGACTCCATATTGTTGTTGCTGATACAGACTAACACAGCTACCCCTCTGAAATCTGTGACTCAGTTTTCCCACTTGAGAACCAAGGACAATAACACTCCCCGCAGCACAGAGGTTTTGTTTTATAAATTAAGTAATAGTTGCAGGGCACTCAGCTCTGATGATAATGAAGGCCATAGAAACAGTCAGTTGGAAGTGCAGCATTCACAATATTATAATTGTGATTTTTACATTTTTCTGTCTGAAATATAATGGCAAATTTAGAACAGCCATGAGACAAATTGTCTATAGGTGTTACAGTTCTGCAGAAAATGTGAACGGAGTGTAACCTATAAAGAGATGTCTGAGCCCACAAAGTCTAGAACAGTAGCTCTCAGGTGTTAAGTCCGATCACCAGTAATGATAATTTAGATATCATAATTGTTAAGCATTTCATTCCTCATGTAAGAAGGGAGAGAGAATCACAGATCTGCATCATCTACTTGAGTGATGTCTTACATTGGTGTCACAAGACAGTCGCGGTTGGGAGATATCACCACTTATTCTTGTCCTCTCTATCAAGGAGGCATGCCCAAAGAACACTGGGTACATTGATGCCTCACTGAAGGGGAGCCAAGCTCAGGGGTGCTGGAACAATTTGTATAGTGGGGATGCTGAGAGCCATTGAACCAAACTGTAAATCTTGTATATGATGGAAACCACTTCAAGCCAGGGGGTGCTACCGCCCCCCCAGCACCCCTAGTTCTAAAGAGCATACACAATCATATTTTGAACGTCTATGCAATCTACAGCCAGAGATATCTAGTTTGTGAGACAAGAGTGGCGCTTATGATGGCGGAGCTTAGACCAATACCACCAGGCAAGATAAACCAATTGGGTCAGATTTTTATCTCATTTACACAGGTAAAAATCTAGAGCAATTACAAGGCAATGACTCTGGATTTACACTGGCCCATCTGAGAGCAGAGTCTTGTCCACTGCGTAAAAGCTGAAATGACAGTCTAAAAGCTAAGGCATGTAGAACTTGGTCAAGTAAGGCTGAGGATAGCAGAGGGGACAAAAAGATCTAATTCCCAGTATTATGCCATGATACAGATTTGTTACAAAAGGCCTTATCAAATGAGACACCAGAAGCTGTTCTCAAAAGAGCCTGCACCCATCTGCTGTCTTCTTAGGTTAGCATATGTTGTACCACCGGCTTGGTTGCCCTGAGCTGCAAAGACATACGCAGAAATTGTCAAAGGACATGAGCGCACTCACTGAAGCATGTTCCCCTTCAAGGGGAAGGAGGAGGAAAAGTTCAGTCATGTTATCTACACTGAGAGAAAGTCCTTGTATCACTAGAGAACACCGAAGGTGAGGTTTCAGCTAATGCAAACAACTCCCCCAGCAAGAAGAGGCAGTTATTTTATGATTTAACAGCCTCAGATTGCAAGGAGAGCTATAGAGGGGCTATTCTACAACTGGGTTTCTTCCACTGCATGTAGGCTGTAACGACACCTTGGCTGTGCTTTCAAACACATATACTGTGCACTCTCCCCCTAGGGGCACCAGGTGGGGAGACGGCTCCTTGTTCCTCTTTCCCCACCCTTACACACCTGCACTGGGACATGGGAAATCCTTCCCACAGACTGTTCCAAACCACCCAAAAACAGATACAAATAGAATAAAGTAAAATGGAAATCTACATCCTGGTGTCACTGAGGCAGCTCAGGGAACGCAATCAAGTTTCCTAAATTTAATATTTTGTTAAAATAGCAGCTTCACCCAATATGATATAACTAGCCTGAGAAATGCTCAAGGAACGTGATTTCTCCTCCTCTCCTGAAGTACCCAAAAGTAACCACAGCGGGAAAGTGCAAGAGAACCAGAAACGGGCACTGATTAATTTGGAAACGGAAAGTGAAATTGAGCAGTTGAGGCTCATTTTCCAAGCTTGGAGAAATGCAAAAAAGGAAACCTACTGTCTGAGTAGTGAAAAAACTATTAAGAGCTCAAGAGAATTTTAAAAATCTTCCAGCTTCAGCAATTGGAGGAATTATTGATAACACATTTCAAGAATATTTTTTGTTAGCCAGATGATTATCTTGACAGAGAACTCTCCTATAGCTTTTCCACACAAACACCTACCCTGACATCGGGACAGAATGAAACTGAAGTTATAGATTTACTGCACACTAAGCCCAGGCTCCAACTCAGGTTGAGTCCAAGCCCTGCTTCCATCCACACACAAATCAGTCTGAGTCAGGTCAGAAAGCACTCAGGACCTTGGTCCTAGGACCCTGGTCAGCACCAAGCCCTGTTATTTTACTGTGTGGACGCTGCAGAGCAGTGTCAAGAGGTCTGAGTAGAGCAAAGAAACAGCTGGGCCATCATGCACAGGCAAGAGATGCCATTCGGAAAATGTCTTATCAGTGTGTGCACACAAGAATTTTTATTAGATACCCTGGGCTGTATTTGGGTTTTAAGCCACAGGATGACAATCATATAAAAGTAATCTCTCAGGAGATGGGAATAATTTATTAGGAACAACTAAATCTCCATTGATTGACAGCAAATTGATATATGTATCAAATGACCCACATGCTGTCTGTTAATCCCCTTGGGATGAGGGGGAGGAGGAGGGTTGGGATGAAAGGTGCTATGTAAACGTAAACATTATCATCACTCGGCATTCTTACGTTTCTAACAGGTGGCAGTAAATAATTACAGGCTAATCTCTTTTGATAACAGCCAGGTGAAATGTTGACAATTTGTAGACCATTTCTGTTTTGGGAACAGAACCTGCAGTGCTTGAGAGGAATCATTTCTTCCTGTTTTGGATCATCATGTACATTAGCCATCAAACCTTTCCTTTCCATAAAACGGAACAACTGTGCAGGTAGACAGATTTTCTGGCTGCTGTGGGCAAGCCTCCTGTTTATTCTTGTGCTGCTGCATATGGTCAGAATCAATTCCCTTTTACTCTGCTGAACTCCCTTCTCACACCTTAATCACATCTTCTTGCTCCTCCCTCTTTTCTGGCCTCCTAAACACTTGTCCTCAAAATTTCAGGGAGACCAGATTGCTGCCACCAGACACCTCTCACTCTGGGATTTAGGGGCATATCACACTCCTGGCCTCATGAGCTTCCTACCCATCTTGAAATCAGATTCAATATTTGCCCTATTGGCTTTCAAACTGTCCATGGAGTCTTTCCAACCCACTCCTCTCTAACCTTGCTTTCCCCCCGGTCCACTAACTCACTCCAGCCTTGGTCTCCTACCCCATCACTCTACATTTTAGGTTGCAGGTAGAAGAGTCAATCCCTCTGTTTGGAACTCTGTCCTGCCAAGCCACTTCTCTCTCTTTAAAGCTTCTTTCCTGCTGATAGTTTAGGAGTGGCAATCTGAGCAGCATCTGTGCATGAAAGATGCTCTATAAACATAAACCAATCTAATGTAGACTTCCACAGCCCTACCAGGCATTCAGGAATGGAGATGCTAACTTGGGCGCCACACTATCTGAAAAGGCATAGAAATGGCAGAATAATATTCTCTGAGATATGAGGCAGTAGGGACATACTTCATCTCCGGGAACAAATATACTGAAGTCAGAATACACTATTACAGTATTATGGAACTCATTCCTCTTATAGTGTAAACACAGAGAGAGAGAGAAAGGCTTTCTTCTGCAGCAATCTGGTTGATGATAGATATGTTTACAAATATAGATTATGCTCTTACTGGCACCCGGTGCTGTCTTCCCCATAAACTGGGTAAACGGACTGATTCTGTCTTGGCAGAGGGAGGGTCATTAGAGAAGAGATTCAACATTTGATTTAAGTGTCAAAGGAAAGATAAAGCAAAAGCATCTTCACTCATCTTGCAACTTTCTAATCTCACTGCCTCCAAGAACCGATGGGCTGAGAGCACTGAGAA